ATCGATGACGAAGTTGAACAAGAATGGGGAGAGTGGACATCCTTGTCTGACACCACTTTTTGTAGGGAAGCTTTTGGAGAGCTCACCATACACCCTCACCCGCCCAGAAGTATGTGAATATAGGGATCTGATTATGTTCACAAACATCTGGGGCATCACAGGTTTCCAACTGCGAACCGATACAAGAAATCAGAGGTCGTTGACAGGCGATACGCCAGTTCTCGGTTCTCGTCGCCTAGAATTCCTAGAAAAAACAACCGGCGTTTTGAGCAACGTCTTACAACAGATCATTATAAAATGCTACGCTGAAGCCGAAGCTAAGAAAAGCCCCTGTTTCACCATTCAGTCCGCTTCCGAAAGAGCTTTACTATATGTCCACCTTGTATCAGCAGACGAGTGAACTCATCAACAAAAATAAGTGGAGCAGTTTCCGTATCTTCAGAGAAACTCTGACAACTTTGAAAAGGTTAGCAATACTAAATAGGCAACAAGTGATCACGCTACTTGAAGGGACTTACACCCCAACCAGTGGCAGATGAACGGCCCAAACAGCGATCGCGCCAGATTTCAGCAGCGTAGCCAGAAGGATAACTGGTGCAACATTTTTTGTGCCGTTGCCCGATGGAGATCGGTTTGGTGCACTTGGGAAGCTGCTTGCAGGAGGCAGGGATGAATCTGGTCGTCGTGAAAGTGCGGACCAACTACACGCGACGAAATTCATATCATCGATAGCATCCAGGTATCCTGGTATCGTGTTACAAGTCAACGGATTATCGGCTATCGTAGCAATCCGCTGAACCAACCGCGATCATTTAATAAACAGGAAGCAAAGTAGATTAGAGTTCATTCTAGAGATGGCTATGGGATAAAAACCTCAAATGGAACCGAAAGGGAAAATTTCCAATTTCTTGCACCAACTTACGCTTTTCTATTCAGACTGGGAAAAGAGCAACGAAATTTCGTAAGACTGTGAAGCCGATGGCCTTTATCTAGAGGCTGGCAACTTAGGTATTGCGTCTCCTAAAGTCAGATGGTAGTGCTAGAAACGGCCGTTACACGGAGGGAGCATTCTATGACAGTGGCACTCAAATAGGAGGAACTTCAGTTTCAAAGGAAAATGGAGACCCCCGAGTCGAAAGTCCAATTTCTGGTATAACTGGTTATCACTTCGCTTTGATACACGCTGCATTAAGACTGGTTCGTTCGAGTTTTGAGTTCTAGTCGAAAACGGTGCGTAGCTCAAAAGCTGTTGCGAGTTACCGATGCGGACCATCATATCCGGCCTGCCAACGATACCTACGGGACGAAATGCGCGCCTACTGTGTCACAATAAGTAGTAGGAAAATCAAATGCCTAAGACACAACAGGTATGTACAGCGGATGGATTGAGGATTGAGGCAATCCTTCCGCGAAAGCCAGGAAAGAGTTGCGAAAATCTAGCTCACTGAGTTGAGAGTCGGCGCCTATTTGTGGTGCCGACTGGGTAGTCCGGACGTCAGTCCGGGTGAGCTAAGAGTTCAGCAACCCACACATCGCAGGTTACTTTCGACTATATACGGTACGAATTATCTGGCGGTTCCGAACCAGTTCCAACTAGTACCTAGGAGAGCCTCGTGGGGCTCACGTGTAAGGAAAGTGGCAAGTGCGGCAAATCCAAAACTAGTGTGGTGGCCCACCGTCCATGAATGTGTTGACGCGAACGTGGTCACTCAATGGCCTGCGCTGACTGTTACTGCCTTTTTCCGAGGAAGATTGGTCTGGATTAACACCACCGACTTGCACATCGCACCCAACATAATTCAGATAATTTTGGCCGAGTAGAGAATGCAGTTGCCCAACAATTCACAATCCTCTCGCGCTTGGTTAGCGATCTATATCTGTCTTGTGACATGCAGCAATCGTTTCTGGGTCGATCGGCTATCAGCACTGAAAACAATTGCATGTGCTTAACTAGAAAGCAAAATTCGACGAATCATCATCTAGTGGTCCTGACCAAACCATGTGTCAAACAGCGGCCCATCCGTCAGAAACTGATCAACATAGCTTCCGGTTTAAACAAACAGTGGATTGCGCGGTATCACTCTTGGAATTCCATGGTGACAGGGGGGAGATGGCCCAGTGCTCAGAGCACGAATTTATTGACCGGAAGGTCCACCGTTCGAGCCCGACGTCTGTATCTCGACTTCCCCTGGCTTGGGCTTGGGCAACCTGTCAGTATCCAAGCGGTATTCCCAGATATAGGGACACGCTCACACAGATGAAACATAGGTATTGTGCGTAGTTTTAAGGGCGATGACTCTCAGTGTTATTTCGTGACATTTGACCTCTGGAGCAAGACTGAACAGCATGAACGGAAAGTCCTCAAAATAACAAGGTCTTACGACAGAACCATGGCAGTGATAAAGGTAAAATTCATGACTTACGCTGGGGTCGAACTGAGGACGTTCGTCCGTCAGGGTTGGAGCTTCCTTGGTTATTCGTCCGTTTGCGATGTAGTAAGCATGCCAAACTTGTGTCAAATCGACCAGCTGTAAACGGTAAATTTCAAACCATTGATATGGAGTTTCGCTAACATTTGTCTCGCTTGATGCAACGAAAACTGGAGAAAAAATGAATGATAACCTTAAAAACGATCTGTGAAGAATAGTAGAAACTTTGATTTCATTCAGTCGAATTTAAAAACGGACAAGAAGCGATTATTTCTACAGTCAGGTTAGGCCAAATAAGGAGCACTGGAGTGCGGTCTCGCTCCTGTCAAAGCCCATGAAGAGCGACATCCACTTGGTAGCGAGCAAGCTCACTGACGGGTGACCACTTAGTTTAACAGCAACTACCCAGGGTGTGTTGGGCGATCCCGAACAACATCCACGCAGGGATGGTATGTGTGAAATGAGCAACAAATCAATTGCTATTCCGCTTGGTCAGATGTATGGCGTTCTCATCAGGATTTCTGTCACACATTCAAAAGACATTGTTCAGCCCTTTGACTACCATACGCCCGCATAAAACTGCTCTAACAGAAGTAGCCCCTGTTTTGGTATGCAGTTTGCACCTTCAAAATGCAAAGTCTTACTTCCGGTTCTCCTCAATCCCATGTGCTCTCCCGAAACCTCAAAATGGAAAACTTGAGCTTACTGATGGGCNGCTGCGTAAGCTGTGGCTGCATTGTGGAAGCTGAAGTCAGTGCATGTATCACCAAGGCAGGAGCAATATTTACCAACTAGCATCACCTTTGACACCCAAAACAAATATCACCAAGGTTAAGAGGCCGTACGTAGTGGCAGTCCTATTCTATGACTGAAAAACTTGGCCTTGAGAACACAACTGACCAGTTTGTTTGAACGTGAGTAGCGTAGTTTCTATTTAACCTGGAAGTTGAATATCGATGAAATTTTAAGTGTATGCATCTGCGCCCACCGCGCCACAACTACAAGTGCTTAAAAGTAGCAATAGGAAGCAAAGATAAACCGAACTACTCAAAAGAGTTAAAAGTAAACGGAGCCAAACGATCATAAGGAAAACAGTCAATGTCACCCATAGATCAGTGTTCAACGTACCACGGCCGAAATTAACAGCCACCCCATTAAATATTCCAGACGCTTAAGATCACCGTTGATATATCTGAACCATGCCGGTGTTACTCAACTCCCAGGGACAGAAACGGTATGCAACGGGTAAGTCAGCTTTTCGGCTTTATTTAGCTATCCTTTCTTCTCTACCAACTCTGAACCACACGACAGCCGGAACAAACAGAACAGTAGAGCGAAAGTTTCAGTTCAACTCCGGAACAATTCTATGAAGTTAATGATTTCCGTCCTATCTATAATAATGGAATGATGGCTAAACAAACATAATTTGGTGGATGCCAGTAGGCAAGTAATGATTAGATACGTTTTTAACTGAGATTTCGTTCTGACAATGAAGTTAATCTATGCTGAAAGGCAGAAAAGCACTGTCCAACTATTTCATCCTTGTTTGGAATCGTCAGCACTGCGCATTTCACGAAACTCAGAGTTAAACACTCGTGATCTTCCGGCTTTGAGCGTTTGGAGAGCAAAGCGATCGGCTCTCACTCAGATAGGACATAGCGCCGCTCATCCTTCAACCACAGAAAGCACATCCCATGGTCATGTATTGACCGGCTGCTCGTCTTGCGAGATCACTCTTACTCTGATTCACTTATAAATAAATGGACGGTAGTTTGAGGAGAAAATTATCGAAGCTATTCACACTACCATCGAGTAGACATGCCTCTAATCATCGGTCGTTCAGTGTTCCAGACGAGTCAGTGGTTAAGGCGCAAACTCACTGACCGAAAAGCCCGTGATTCGAACCCGACCGCCGTATCTCGACTGCTCCTGTCCAGGATGGGGAACCTGGCAGTATCTCGGCCCACGTGCTTTCTTCAAGTGGCACTGAAAGGGTGCTACAAATGAACCATTAAATTTCTATTCCAGATTACACAAATATCATATCAGCCACCGCTAGTTGCCTTGCTCGAGCTGCGTTGACACACAATTTTGATGTTACCAGTGGTAGGGGTTGAGTGTGGAAGCCGCTCCATGAACTCCAGTATCTGCGCTTAGGTTGAAAGAGACGAATTCATAGACCGTCTGTTCGCAAAAACACGTTAAATTGATGAGATGACTCGAGACCACTTTAGTGACAGCATAATACTCCCCACCAAACGATATGGAAGTTTATAGGATCCCCATGGAAGCTCCTGCAGGTTGGGAGCAAAAAATGCTATATTTATGCTTGCTTTGCCCATAGTTCGGTTTCCAATACTTAGAACAAAATGAGAGGAGCAATTAGTTCAGGGATAAATCGTAAAATTTTAACGAATGAATCGCAGTGCAAACTGAGTGGGACTGACCTCCTCCCATGCGTCAGCACTTTTAGGTCCATAGATGGCGGCTCGACCATCCAAAGTAACAACACAAAAGACGCTCCTAAAAATTGGGTAGAAAAAACAGGAACAGACGAGCACATGAACGAAACGATGCGTGCAAAGAGATGGTAAAGGATATCTTCAATTAGGTAATCAACGGGAACTTATCACTCAATAGACAACACAAGCAACAGGTCACTAATAGTCAGGTGATAGTTGTCAGGAGCTTTTAATGGTGCCGTTGCATAGGTTCTGTCAAAAGTAAAGTTGGGCACCATACTGGTAGTAGAAGAGGGTCACTACTCATCGTTCCTAAAAGCTGCAGTATTCATTTTGTGCGCTCAATCCCGTCTAGAATAAACAAACAGGGTAAATGGGCGCTAAGCAGTCAACATACGGGACATTGCTCAAAACGACAGTGTTTCACATGGAGTACTATATTCTTTTTCCACAGCATCGCATCATCTACGCGGTGTAAGACGATAGATCACCTTAACAAAAATTTTCAAAATCATACACACCCAAGTAAGTCTTCGGGCGAGAAACTCCCGGTATTTTTATCTATGACTTTAGTTGACCATATTCGTTCAATTTTCATGAAATCGACAACGTCACACCGAAATTTGTTACGGTACTCGAAACCTTGACTGGAGTGTATAACACTTGGATCGATGTGTCTTGAATACCTGGGAAAAAGTTTGGAATGCATGTCAACAGGACTGAGAAGAAAAGCAAAGATAGCCAGTGCTAAGGAATGGCGGTTTGAGAATGAAACGATGTAGCTGGATCGTAACAAGCCCCGGCCAGTTTTATGTACCAGGGATGACTGTCTCAGCTTTTGCTGGAGGTGGTGTTAGACTCTACCACAGGAACCTGAGTCTTAAAAAAATCCACAAAAGATACCTTGTCATTCAGTCAGTGGGCTATTCGGTGCAGTTTAGCCAAAAAACAGCACTTATGGTAAGTAAATAAGTGAAATGAAGTCCTCTATCAAAATAAGGCAAAGACAACGACAATAACGAACCAACCTTCCAAAACGATCAACATTCCTCGGACTCCAGTCTAGACTTCGAGCACCTTTTCGGGGTTGTACGTAATCTCGGTGGATCTCTTCGACAGGGAAAATAGCTGCCCTCGTTGAAGATTCTGCAAAGGCAAGGCCTACATATCTCAATTAGATGGTAGAAATGAAAACACACTCACGTGATATGTCGGGAGTATCTATTCCCTCTTTTAACACTGATTCGGCCAAGGTAATCGGTAATGTGAACCTTGCTTTGACGTGAACATCGCTCAAACATGCTGGTTGAGAAGCTGGGTCCTGACCAAGGGCAAGATTGGGAGTCTAAAGGGATAGGTTGGGAAACGGGGTTTGTAAAAAAACGAAGAAAAAACTTATTAGCACACAGTTAAATGGGGTCTATGGAACGGTTGATAAAAATAAGCTCTAACATAAATGCACTATTCCTTGGACTGAAACATAGAAAAATTACATGCGCAGCGTGCACGAATATTTTGGGTGTCTGAAACATCCTAACTGGTTTACCAACATGTAGTGGTGCTGCTGTAGTAATGCATTACTAGAAACAACTCCGTACAACTCCGTATCGACAAACTCGCCCTTTCCTACCACAGATGCAACAACAGGACATGAGAACTTGACAGGTCCACTAAACCGAAAAGATACACTGAACGAAATTAAAACACCAGCGTCCCACTCTGAAACGTCAGCAAAAGCTTATTCTCTTAAAAGGACCGAACAGTCACTCAACTACGGTGTTTAAACGTTTCCGTATGGCCAATCTCTTATCCAGAGTTCTTCAAGCTAGCTGGCCTGTTAAATGGTACTGAGTTACGAGTTATGGTCATTCATCGTAACCTATATTGTGTCCATTGAAGAAAACTATCCAAAGCATTGTATATGAATTCGAGACCGAAATGATGACAAAAACAGATTAGTCAATGGTGCGATTCCGCGTGATCAAACTTGACTGCACCACCGAATAGAACTTATTGAGATGGCGTACCCAAGTAAGAGTAGCGTAATTATCACATGATATTTGTTG